CCTTTTTGTTCAGGATCTTTATGCTGTTATAGGCAATCGAGGGTCCTGTAATGTTAGCGTGTGATGCCAAAGCACAGCTTTCTGGATGCAATCTGGCGTCACTCCTGTGGGATGTTACTGCCGTTTAGTGATCTGGAGGTTTGACCTATATATATATATATATATATATGTATATATATATATATATCAAATTGCAACCATTACAATTAACGGAGTGGACAGTATTGGCTAAACTAAGCATCGGAACTATCGTTCATTTTGGAAAATACATTGTTGACTGTAAGGACAGATTTACAGGCAATACGACAGTTTAAAGTGCTACATAGTCTGGCCAATTTTGGAGTTAAATCTTGAATGTATGGCAATACTACAAAACTAATTATGTGATTTGTTAGTGTATTCGTACTGTTATTGTTTTGAGAATTATTTGTATTATTGTATATATACATATATAAATGAGTCCCTATTTCGCGTGGTCACGCCATAACTTGAGAACGGCTTTACCGATTTCATTCATTTTTTTTTAAGTTTTCTGATGCTGTATAGAAAGTTCTTACGGAAAGAAAATTCAAGAAGATTGCGCAGAAAATTGGGAAATCATTGAAAACTTGATGGAGCACGCACAGCAGAAGAAGTATCTCAAGTACCAAACGAGACAGGCACTCCTCTTCGTCATCTTTATTCCAACAGCTAATGACAGTTAGCTAACTATGTGAGAGAAAATTGCTTATGAAAACAAGGTGCTTTCGTTTTTGGACTTGCATTTCTTTACCATCCGCACTTTGTGATAGCCCCTTCAAAAGAAACTGTTATTTCAATCATTAAAAGAAAACAAATGAAGTATATGCAGTTGGCGAGAATTTTGGCTCAATCCTCGCGTTAGTACCACGTTGGCCGAAAAATAGCTCTAGCAACATTTTCTGAGGTCTAATAAAATACTAGTTCGCCCCGCTACTGGATGTCTCTAAGTCCCCGCACATCTGTCATATGTCTAATAGTGCGACCCTTGAAAAGCATCCCATATTTATTGTTTCGACGTTTTGGGTGCACGACTGCATTCATCTATTGCGTGCAAGCTCTGCTCACTGCTTCTCTGTAACCCGACACTTGGAGGTCGGTCTTCGGTTACATTTACCGACACACGAACGCAACTAGTTTGACTTCAGGTTATCCTTCTAATTTTTATTGAAATTTTATACGTGTATCGGTACGCTTCAGCGGATACTAATCGTATAAGTACGTTTCATTCAGATGGAACATGTTGATGTCTTAAATGTGTATTATTTGTCTATGAGCGTATATGACCACACAGATGATTCAAAATACTGTTTAAGCATTAATCAAGTTTACTATAAACCCCTCATTCCAATTACTGTAGTCAGAAACATTTCAAGACCACGTAACCACGTAGAAAGACACTGTCCGTCACTCCGTCTATGAAAAAACTGAAATAGTAATGGGAACTAAAATATCATAACAAGGTGCACATTTTCTGATTTTTGTAAGGGCTATAATTTGAAAAGTACTCGACTTGGATTTTTTTTTATATTTTTCTGATGACTGCTATGACTTGGCCTATCCCCCGTTGTCGGCTTGACGATGACTTCTGTATAACATCGAATGCACTGCTCACATTACAAATTTTTACATATTTTTATAAAGGTTACTATCATACCAACGAAAATGCGTTTGAGTGAAAAACGAAAATCCAAACTTGATTTTGCGGGTTTCTCAATTTCTGATAAACAAGGATCAGGGTCTATAAAAGAAGTTTTCGGCTCTGAAAACAACACCAATTTCAAATTGACTGCATATATGAAATTTCTGCATTAACATATTTTCGAACGTACATATGTATTTTGAACTTTCATCATTTTAGTACTTTGTTATTTCTTTTTAAATGCCTAGAATTGCAATTTCGACATTGTTGTCTAACATTCACCCATTTTCGAATATCTCATTTAATATTTCTACATGAGCGCATGGTCGCAACACCTCCTACTTCAGATATCATGATGAAACACTCTAAGACACAGAAAATAAATATATAAAAATCGATAATGGTTTAAAAAACTAAAAAACACGCTTTTGTAGCTGACCGAATTAAAAAGTAGAAAATAATTTTTAATTACAAAGAGTTTATACTACAGTAGTAGATGGTCGAACCATCATAATTAGTGACCTCAAAATAAAATTATGATAAAATTTAAGTTATTAACAGAATAATTCAATTAATTAATAAATTAATTCAAAATTATTTTCTACTTTTTAGTTCGGCTGGCTATAAAAGCGAGTTTTTTAGTTTTTTCAAACTATCATTTATTTTTTATTTTTTAGTTCGATTTATCAATTAGTTTTTTGTGGAAATGTGGTATTGGAATGTCTTAAGAATCATTTCGTAATCTAATCATTTCATTCAAAGCTTCACTGTTGCATGGGGTTTTTCCTGTTAACTTAGAGCAATCAAGTCCTTCAATCCGAATACCGTCTAAAGATCTTACACGACTAAGTGCTACATATATACATACATACATATACACACACATATACATACATGTTGCACCAAGGTTTACTACATGTACACAAAGGAAGTGAAGAATCATTTAACAATATATCTATAGCAATCTAGTTAAGACTATGGATCCAAGCAGATATGAGATTTGACAGCTTTCTTGAAGCAATTTAAGAACATGGTTTTGAATTCAGGACTCAAGGCATTGTATAACACTGAAGCACTGTACGTGAAAGAACGCTGGAATAAAGTTGTGGAGTGAATAGGTGTAGTTATCAAATTTGGAAATCTAATATGTCTATGATGAATATTACGCCTAAATATGAGCTTTTCTCTTAAGTATATAGGTTTTAATATAAGTATTAGTTTATGAATGAAAACAAGTTAATGATATTTGACAATATTTTTTGTTATCATCCAGTTTAATCCAGTAAGACTACCAGCAACATGGTCAAAACGCCTTAAACCGCAGATGAACCTAGCACAATTGTTTTGCACAATTTGAATCGATTTTTAGTAACAACATTGAGACACGGATAATATAAAATATCACAGTAGTTGAAAATCGGCTAAACCAAAGATGAGCACAGTGTTTTCCTTAGCTTATAATAATTGAAAATTGCTTTATTGGCATATAGTGATCTCAGTCTCAAGTAGGTCTTCTTCAAAAGATTTTTAACATGACTGGTGAATCTAAGTTTGAAATCGATTACCACGCCAAGAATTTTAACCTCGTCAACCGGGTACAGTCTTTGAGATCCAATTTTAATAGTTAATTGACTTTTAATTTCTACTCTCCTACGATCCGAACAAAAAAATAACAGGCTGGATTTACCAGGATTTATTGACAGGTTGTGGTTATTCGAGAAGTCATACACTTTTTGAATATCATGGTTTATTGATGTCTGTGCCATTTCCATATCATCAGTATCAAAATAATGGACCACAGCCTTAGGCAGATCAGCAATATATATCAAAAACAACAAGGGACCCAAAACAGACCCCTGAGGTACTCCAGACGAGATTTCTAGAAAACTAGATTTATTGTTTTCAATTGATGCACACTGCGATCGATTTAATATACAATCTCGAAAAAAGTTCAATGCAATTGGATCTATGCCATAATACTTCAACTTTGCTATTAACAACTCATGATTTATTTTGTCAAATGCCTTGGAGTAATCGATTGACATCACTGCTAAGCCCATTTTTTGATCAAGTGCTCTAATAATATTATCAACCAAGTTTAAGACGGAAGTAGTAGTACTGGAAGATTTCCTAAAAGCAGACTGATTAGATGGGATGATATGTTCCTCTGCATAATGCATCAGTTGTATGTGCGCTGCCTTTTCAACTACCTTCGATAAACGAGGCTTATAGGTCTTAGATCGAACGAATCTGCAAGATGGTTTAGAATACGTGGCTTATCAGATGTCTGTGCTTTCATATTTTTCAATTCATACCACAATTTTTTCTGATCACGCCCTTTTTCCAAGTGAGCAAGATACGCCATTTTTTAACGTCTAATGCACGATAGTGCAAGGTTTCTAAGTTCCCTAAAAACCTGCAATCATTCTGGACTTCTGTCTATCTTGTATAAATAAGATGTTCTCGTTTTTTGCTTTAGAAGCTGTCCCAACGGATATGATACCACGGCGCTTTCGGCTTACTCACGCGTACCGTCCTTATAGGAGAGTGACGATTGAAGATGTCAAGTAACTTGCTACTGAAAAATTGAACTTTATCATCAATATTCCTCATATAGTACATTTCATTAAAATTTACTGTAGCCAGGTCATCAATGAAAGATTGCTCATCAAAGTGTGAGAAATATCTGAAGGTTTCACACGGGATATGTTTAAGACACAGCACACAATTTTATGTTAGTGACAGTGATTGGGGTATTAATAAAAATAGGGTCCAGAAGAGTTGCGGTACTATTAGTTACTCTAGTAGGAGCATCAATAATTTGCTTGGAAACCATACACATCCAAGCATTGTTGTAAGTTATTATCCGCAAATAAATTTACATTTAAATCACCAAGGATAATAATATTACTCAGCACATTAGGTCAAGTTAATAAAAGCGTGTTAATAAAAGTGTTGCTCCACTGTTCTCATAAAAAAACAAACGTCGAAACAATTCAAGACAAAATCAACGATACTTCAACCTACGTTTTTTAATGTGAGGCCAGTGGAGCAACACTTTCATACCTCCCTCGATAGGTAATCACCCTGTATACCAGTAAATTTAGATTATTTATTTTCTACTACCCATTTTACTGTTCATTTCCTCACGGCACGCTTTGTATAATGGCATTAAACATTCACCGTTGTCTCCACGAGCAAAAGCTAGTCTTAGCAAACGTGCGATTTTAGATTTCAATTTTCAACAAAATTATGTAATTGTAAACGTGTATAATGCTCCATCAGCGATAGTATAATGAACACGTTGCTTGTTGCTTGTGCATCATTAGAAGCTGAAGTTCTATTTTTGCCACTGGCGTACGTAAACCGAAAGACCTCCCGTGAGATGGTAGGTTTTCCTCAACGTTTTACTCAACAAAGATAATTTTATACATTGGAAAGATAGGTACTGACAGTTCATATTCAATGTAACTGTTAAGAAAAGTACCGATACGGGTAAAATAATCTAAAGAGGAAAACAACGTATGCATAATTACCTGTCGTTGTGTTGTATTATGATGTAGTTCATACCTGGAACAAGATAATGTTTATTAGTACCATTATATTTATAACGAAATACTTTTAGATGTAAAAGACGTAATCATTCAGCAGCAGCATGGATTTTTGTCCGAAAAGGCCTGGATACCCATTTGATTGTTTTTCTGACTTCGTTTCCGATGTTTTGGAGAGAAATTTATACCGGCTTCAGCAAGATTTTTAATCGAGTTGATGATAATTTAATTCTTTGTGTTTATACGAGGGGGTACCCAAAAAAAAACGGAATTATTTTTTAAAAGTTATTTATTTTCAACTTTTTCACAAAGTAACCTTATATCCTTCAAAATACTGTCCACTACAACTACTACACTTGTCCCACTGGTGCTTCCACTGGTCGAAACATTTTTTGAAGTCTTCCTTAGAAATGTCTGACAGCTCGTTTTTTTCTTGACCTCTTCAATGTCGTCAAAGTGGCGTGGCGTCCTTTTTTTTGCCGAACAGTTTCGCAATCGTCTTAAAACCTCCATGCCGCCATTTTTAAATCGAGAAAACCACTCGTACACTTGAGTTTTTCCCATAGCATCATCTTTGTAAGCTACTCTCAACACTAAAACAGTTTCAGCAGCATTTTTACCAATTAGAAAGCAAAATTTCACAGCTGCACGTTGCTCACTGAAGCTTGCCATCGTAAAAAAGGCAACAAGCACGTAACAGCTCCAGCAAAAATTATGACTACAAAGGAACGAAACAAGCCAGGTCGACAACTCAGGTGGCACTGAAGTGGTAATGAGTGGCGCTGTACGCCTCTAGGGGCAGAAATGTGTACTACACAAGCTCCGCCCATTGCAATGCTATTCCGGTTATTTTTGGGTACCCCCTCGTAAATGGGTATATGTATAGCGGTATAGAACTTTAAGTTGGCATTACTTTTGAAGATGGCGACCGATTTGACAGCTGTCAAGTGATTTATTCTCAGTTTGGTTTGGAAATTCATCTCACGCCTGAACAACGCTTGCAAATTGTGCAGTTTTATTTCGGAAATAATGGTTCTGTGCGGAATACGTATCGCGTACTACGTCCATTTTATCTTCGACAAAATCGTCCATCCGTGCAGTTAATTCGATTAACCATGGAACTTTTTCGCACCACGTTTACTCTAATTGATAACTTGCATCCCCAGAGACGCCGTACGGTGCGTACAGAAGAAGCTATTGCTACTGTAGAGCGTAGCATTGAGTCCATCCGCCATCGAGCACAGGAATTGGATCTGTGTCCATCCACTTTATGGAAGATTTTGCGGAGGGATCTTGGTTTGCGTGTTTATAAAATCCAACTCGTGCAAGAATTGAAGCCAAACGATCATCAAGCAAGGCGTAGATTCGTTGAATGGGCCCAAAACGAGATTGCCGTTCCCGATTTTCATAAGCGAATTTTGTTTAGCGATGAAGCGCACTTCTGGTTGAATGGCTATGTCAACAAGCAAAACTGCCGCATTTGGAGTGAAGCTAATCCTCAAGTCTATGTCGAAACACCGTTACATCCAGAAAAACTGAATGTTTGGTGCGCTTTATGGGCTGGTGGAATCATTGGTCTGTACTTCTTCAAAAACGATGATGGCCAGAACGTTACAGTCAACGGTGATCGGTATAGAGTCATGATTACTAACTTTTTCATTCCTGAATTGAACAATCATGATGTCCAGGAGCTGTGGTTCCGACAAGACGGCGCAACATGTCACACAGCTCGTGCTACAATCGATTTATTGAAAGACACGTTTGGTGACCGCCTAATTTCACGTTTTGGACCTGTGAATTGGCCTTCAAGATCTTGTGATTTAACACCGCTAGACTATTTTCTGTGGGGCTATGTAAAGTCATTGGTCTATGCGGATAAGCCACAAACGCTTGACCATTTGGAAGACAACATTCGCCATGTTATTGCCGATATACGGCCACAAATGTTGGAAAGAGTCATCGAAAATTGGACGTCCAGATTGGACTACATCCGAGCCATATGGCAGAAATCATATTTAAAAGATTATCTTTCGAATAAAAAAATGCATGTCAATCGAATAATCCATCGTTGTTTTATTGCAATTTAAAGTTCTATATCTCTAAAAAAAACATCCTTTATATATGTAGATGAAACCATAAATAAAACGAATAACATACTTGGCTTTATTAGAAGACAATATATACACCAACAATCCTTCTACCCTATTATCACTATACCATGCGTTTGTAGATAGTAATCTCTGTACCTACTTCAATATTAAACTTCATAGAATTAATATTGGTTTAAGCTCTCCACTGGTACGAATGCAAAGTAATCTGAACAACTATGGTAAAGTCGCTGATATTTTTGCTTGTGAAATGTTACGGTTTAAATCCTTGATAAAAAACAGATTGTTTCTAATAATTTTTTTCTTTATTGAATTGACATATTTATTTCATATATGTAGATTATAAATAACAATCCTTACAATTTAGTGTGTTTAACTATACTGTGGATGTGTATTTTAGAGATTTTCCTAATTTGTTAAATAAATAAATAAATTACTACACGTACGCACAATAAAATTAAAAAATACGTATTTCTCGGATCATACTAAAAACCTAAATAAGGTACTTCTATGGTTTCAGAGCATATTAAACATTTCTAAATTGGAAACACCCTATTTCTTCTGCAATCGCTAATATGGTTGAAAATCATTTTTGTCCTATGTATATAATCAAAATCGTTGTAAAGTGCCTGTTTGGAGCAGTATTCTAAATCCTTTTCGTCTAATTCCATGGTGTGTATAGATATGACTAAAAAACAATGTTATACATTTTTTTTTGTCAAAAAATGCTTTTTGAGCATTCTATTGCGCATTTTTTCTTTAATTGTAACTTGCTAACAAATATCAGTACAGCTCTGGAATTGTATGTCAAAATTCCAGGGGGTGATTACCTTTATTCTTATCGCCTTTTCTCTTTGAAAAATCTTTTTATTGAAACCTCACTTTCCAGCAGATTGAGTTTTCAAGAAAAGCAAAGATTTTTTTAAGAGAAAAAGTGATAAGGACAAAAGTCAGGGGACACCCCCTCAATTCTACTATAAAAGTATATAAATTTTGACATTCAGTTATGAGCTGTACTATTATTTTGTTAGCAATTTACGAAAAACATGCATAAAGAATTTACGGTAGTAAGGAAAATTGAATTTGCCCCTAACAGTCGATCTTGAAAGTTGTTTGCCAGCCGGTGGTGTAGAACTATGTTGATTAGATCGGCTCCACGGGATGGAGAAGATGCGGGTTCAAATCCCGCCGGCGCCCATTTTTCCTTTCTCTCAAGTTGTTGTTTACTGTAAACTTACTCGCTGATGCGGATGGGCTCATCCGAAAGATCGCATACAAGGTAAACTTTTCTGCAACAGACACTGATCCGTATCTATACAGTAAGATAAACCAGCAAACTTCCGTGCCCCATGATGTAGCACGAAATAAAGCGTGTAAATATTTATTTAGGGTTACCAACTTGATTAAGCTAGTCGCGTGGCAGAACTTTTAGGTACCATGTGGATGAGTAAACAATTATGTTTACTCATCCAGATGATACGTTAAGTGCTTATGGGTGTCCAGTGGCAAAGTTCACTTTTTGATTTAAGAATACAAATTTAATGAAAAGAAAATATTTATTACTATCAACATATTCGAAAATTCTTGACTATCATTCCGTCCAAATGTTTGCCATCCCTTCGGACACTCTTCTTATCGCGCAAATTCTGAAACACTCTCTTTTTATATATTTCAACTACCCCGAAGGCCTAAGGCCTAAACACACATGGGGTACCGTGGGGCTATAGGTGGAAACAGGAGAAAGGGGGAACGCCACATGGACTCTGGCAAGGGAACACATGCAACATGGACACATTCTGGCCCCGCCTACGAGATCAGCTGGGAGGTACCACTCTTGCAGAGATCCGCAGTGATGATGATTACTTATTGTCGAATGTTGTCTTTAAGCTTCTCCAGTGTTTGTGGATTATTGCAATACACTTTCAACTTTAGATAACACCACAAAAAATAATCGCATGGCGTGAGGTCGGGTGACCTAGGAGGCCAGTGAGTGTCTCCAAACTTCGATATAACTTTCACCGTGTCCATCGATTCTCTGGAAGTGTGGGCAGTAGCCCCATCCTGTTGAAACCGTGTGTTCCTGTTAGGTCGACATTCTTATTTTGCAATAGGAGCAAAAAAAAAGGTCAATCATGTCCTTGTATCGCTCGGAATTGACTGTCAATGCATGCCCGTTTTCATGTTCAAAGAAATACGGCCCAATAATACCGCTAGAGGATATGGCGCACCAAACAGTCACCTTTGGACTATGTAGCTGTTGCTGATGTTTCAATTTGGGTTCGTTGGTGCCCAATATCTGCAATTTGGCTTGCTCCATAAAACCATAAAAGTGAAAATGGGCCTCGTCACTGAAAACAACGTTCTCGACTCTGCGCTGCGTAGAAAAAAGAATCAACATCCGTTTAGCACAAGATTTCCGTAATACGTAATAACTTTCCTTTAAAGCATGGACTGATTGGATGTTATAAGAATGAAAGCCCATTTTTTTCTTCATTATGCCATGCTGCGTATGAATCAGCACTCTTAAAGTAAGCCTCGATAGTAAAAGCTCGTTGCGCTCAGGTCCAACGTTCCAGTATGACTATTTAGCCCGCACGCCGAACGCGTCGATCAAGACCTCCACACTTCCTCGCGGATACGGTTGCCGCGTAATTCAAATTTGAAATGTAGACTTTCGCACTGAACACCCTGTACTTGTATGTATGCTAGTTATGATTAAAGATCGCGGATTGGATTTAGGGTCGATTCTAAAAACAATATGGGATAACAGTCCATGCTTCCACCCTTTACATATGCCAAGATGTTTCCAGAATATATCCGTGTATGCATCTTCATAAACTGTAAAAATGGCATCAAGTAGATTGACTCTTTATACTTCATACGCCTTCGTTGGAGGTTTCGAAAAAAGGGA